TTTTAATTCAGTTACAACTGTATATTCTATTATATAAATATTTCAACATATTTACCACTAAATCATTGAATTAAACATATCGAATCAGCTTAATTAAAAATAAAATAAAAACAATTTAATACTTTGTATTTTACATGACATTTATATCCGACTACTGATGTGTTGCATTCATTTGTTTTCATATTTAAATTAAATATGGAAATTACATAAGAAAACGCTTGTTATTCTAAAATAATTTTTATCTTTTTTCATTAGATTTAAATGAATATTTTATTGTCAAGCTGAAAAAAATTAAAAATTAAAAATATATTTAAAAAATTATAATTTTTTTCATAATTTTAAATATATTATGTAAATTAAATCATAAATTTTAATCAGTTATTCAAGATAATATCAGTTTAAAATATAAATCAAATATTTATTTACTTTTGTTCTTACAATTAAGATTTTTACAATTTTTTTGCAAATGTTAGTCTTAAATTTTTTTGTTGCAAAACGTAAATATCTTAATATTTGCTCCAGCATGCACACTTGCGAATATGTATGTGTAAACTTCTATTGATTTGCTAGTTGGCATCGTTCCCAACCACAAGTTTAAATATTTATTACTTTTTTCTTTGAAACTTTAATCCATGTTCTTTCGCATCTCGTATACATATTTTCATTCATAGAGTATTAACGCTCATGCGCAGAAGCGACCTAATTTACAGATTGCAATTAGTCAGATTGTATGATATGTACTTGAGTGCAGTGGACTAAATTTTCTCCCTCTCTAGTTTTTCTCAAGCGGATAACTTTTATGTCCTTTCTTGTCTGTGGTAACATTACTAAGTATTTTTTATCTTGTACACAGTTAGTTCATGTAGGGCAAATATTCCCGAAAAGAAACTTTCATTTTAGTATAATTTGTATATTACGTCTATAATTAGACATTTTTTTATTTAAAACAAAATAAAAAATTGTTTTTTATATTAAACTTTGAGAACAAATATTTTATTGATGACCAGTTGAAATAACTTTTTCTCATATAAAATACACGTAACTACTAAGCAAATATAATTATTAAAAAACTGCCTAAAACTAAAAATAATCTGTAATATAATTTAGCAAATAAACATGAAATTAAATACTATCAATTTAAATTAACAATATATAATATCATATAAATAAATAATTCTGTTGTCAGAATTATTACTATAAATATATATTATAAAAATTTAAATGTATGTTGATTGATATTGATATTTACTTATAATTTATAATAAGAAGGTATATTTTTTTATTTTTTAAACTTAATTTTTATTTATATTTGCATAAATGATGAGTGTTAAAAATTAAATTTATACAACAGCATAATAATGATTTATTTTCACAAAGCTTTAAACAACAAAAGGATATTAATTTCTTATACTTGTATATAGTTTTATAACTATTCAATAGTTGAACGGAAAAAATTATAATTTCGTTGTGTGAGTAGAGAGTAAATAAAAAATATTTCTGATAAAGTAATAACTTCCATTCAAAATTTCTTTCCAAAGCCATGACATTATTATTGTCATACCACTTTTGTTAAAATTTATATGTACTGCTAATAATAATATAATAATGGTATATAAAATAATTTATCTTTTTATTACTGTCTTTATTACTTCATTTGAAAACGACATAAACATAAAAGTTTCATATGTTTTATTTAAATTAATATTTTAAAAATGATTAAATTATTACAAATTATTTAAAAAAAATTAATATAACTTCAGATATTTAAATACTTGGTATTACGATATATTAATATAAAGTAGAAACGATCAAATTCTCGTTAATTTATTTCCGATTGAAAAATTAATTATACGTTAAGTATATAAAATTACAATACAATTTATATACTTTTTTCTAATGAACTTAAATGTAAAAATTCAAAAAGCATGAAAAAATATATGTACACGGATAGTCAACAAAATATCTTTACAATGAGATTTTCCAATACGGATACAGCATATAAGAAATGTATAACTCATTTAATAAATTTTAATTTCATTAAAAATTAAATTTTACTTCCATGCATTAATTATTAGTTATTATTTAATAATTATTATTATCAAAAGTTTTTTTATTATTTCATATATTAGATATTTCTTACGACAATGGTTATTATTATATAAATTAAATTTAAATCAGAATTGCAAGATCTATTTCTTTTTTACCTCATATTTGATTAAAGTTCTTAATTTTTAAATAAATAGGCTCTATGCAAAGATTTGAAGATTAAAAATCAAATAAAAATTTATTAAGAAAAAAATTATTCTTTATATTTAATATAACAAATAGGAAACTCATTTATTTTAATTAAAATAAAGAAAATATCTATCATTTTATAATTTTACTTTTTAATTTTTAAATATTATTGAGACAAACTAAGATAGTCAGTTGTGTACTTGTTGGTATAATAGAAAATACCTTTATTAAAATTATTTTGTTAAAATATAAATAAAATATTTCTTTTATAAATGAAATAAATTTTTGTATTCTAAAAGGGCTAAAAATTTTGTTGTTTCTGCTTAATTATAAGTATTTAATGTAATTGACAAGTACAAAACTTTCAATCAAAGTATGAACTTAGAAACTTAGAAACTGTACATTAAATTTATAATGTGTTATAAATTTTTGTTTAAAAAACTTTTATAAATTATCGCATATCTTCAAACTGCATCCATTTTATTTTTAATTCTTTTGTTTAGGTATTGTGTAGATTTCTATATAATTCATCTTTAGAAACTGTATAATACTTTATACATAATCTCGTATTTGAATATTGATTATTTAGTTATATAAATAATACTTAAAATTATAAGTATTGCAAATTATAAAATGAAAATTAAACCGAATGAAGAATAATATAAATTTGTGTGAATTAATAGTATTGTATGGTATATATATATATATATATATATATATATATATATACATATATCGCTTTTATTTTAAGTTAATTGTTGTACTCATAAAAATTATAAATTGTTTTTTTTTAAATTGTAATATTTTCTAAACATACAATAAGCTTAATTTGAAATAAGTTAAGTGTAAAAATGAAAAATTGAATAAATAATATGATAATTCTGAATTATAATAACATATAATTTTTTTACAATGTAAATAAATTATTTACAATGATCATATTCAGTTTTATACAACTATATTGACTCTTTGATTTGCATATTGTTTAAATTACAAAATTTGAAATAAAACATTTAATTGAAGATTTGTATTCCATTCATTTCGAATAATTTTCCAAAACATTTAAGCATTGAACTAACATCTTATTAAAATCATAAAATTTATTAAATTCGTAAATTTATTTAATTTATTTATTAAAATACTTTATTCTAAACTTTTATTTTAAAAAAAAATTTTTAATTTCAAAGATATACATTTTTTTCTATAAATACTATTCATTTAATAAATTTAACTAAATAGGTATTTATATCGTATATATAAATATATCGCACCTAAAATAAGTACGTTAGTAAATGTGGAAAGCTTCTTGTTAAGTATAATAGTGTCATAAATACTAGCATTTTAATCACGAATTCATAAAGTCCACGGTGTAGGTGGATTTTATATAATGGTGCATCCAAATGTTGGTTTATAACAAGTTAATACAACAAAGCATATTATGAATTTATATTATATATTTAAAAAACGCTTCGCACAATTATTTACTCAAAAAAATTTTATTCTTAAAAATAGTAAAGTTTACTTATGAGTTAAAAATTTTGCACCATACTCGATATTACAGGATTATAGTGTTTATTTCCCTTTCTTCTAAAATTATTATAAATATTTCCAGTACGCTTGTAACGATTAAACTTATGAAAGTGCGATAAATATATAAAGAAGTGGACTCTTCTAGAACAAATTATATTCTGTTTGATAAATTTAATTACATTAATGCAGGTAATGGTTTTAAAAAGTAATAATGACAAATAATCTTCAGATAACAAGCTTGAAATTAAGTTATTTAAAATGTCATTTGTGTATCATTATCTATATTAAATTTCAAATACAGAGTCTTGGAATATTCTTTTGTTTTAATGATTTCCTCTCTTTAAACTGCTGGAATCTTTTTGCACTCGATCTATTATTAAAAAATTCAATAATGAATATAATTTCTTACTGTACTTACTGCCAAATACATTTTATTATAATGTTTTCACATCCTACATTTTATATATTTTTATTTTATTTCAATATTAAATATAAATAACAATTGCTGTCAGAGTAGATACTAAATTTTAGTATATTACTTTTAATAAATTTATTTAACCTCTTGTATTTGTAATTTTTCACTATTTCTCTAAATCAAGGAATCTATATGTGTAAATTATATTAATATCAACTAAGTTATTCAATTTTACTTATTATTTAGGAATAATTTAATAATCTATTATTTTGCTGACCGTATTTAAAACATTTTCAAATTTAATAATAAATATAAAAAAAGAATAACAATTTTTGAATAAGTATTATTTTATCTAAATTATTCGACTATAATATCTAAATAATTCACGCATCTAAATAATATGAATATTTTAGTGTATGAAAAGAATTTAATTATAACAATACGTAAAAACATTATTTTAATAACCTAGATTTTAATTTTAATTTTATTAAATTCATATTTGCACTTTTAAGTTATTTCGTGCAAAGAAATTGTAATGAAATTAAAATAATAAGAATATTAAAATAGTGTGAGAATGATTCAAGAGTAGTCGAATAAAAATAAAGAGCTCATCCAATGAATAAAATGTCGTATTTCAAATGAAGAAGAAACAAAAGAGGGTAACTCAGTCGATAAAGTAAAATAATATCTCGCACATCATTTATATGAATCTGTACTTGAGTATCTTATCTTATATGAGTGCGAGCAGAAGGTCATAGAGGAAGGTAAGGAACGAATAAAGGTGATAAAGGCGTCGGGTATGCCTGATTTGTTTTTACAGAGGCTGAAATCGAAGATCTCGGGGGAGTTTTAGGGGGCTCTGGTGCGATAGGCATAGGTATACGCCATCGGCCAGAAGAATTAGCAACCCTTGCAGCCAAAACCCGATTTACGAGAAAGGAAATACAAATGATATACCGGGGTTTTAAACAAGAATGTCCGACTGGATACGTAGATGAAGATGCCTTCAAACACATCTTTTCGCAATTCTTTCCACAGGGTGGTGAGTCTCTAAATATCAATGTTTCTGTATGACAGCTTTCAATTACTTATTCTTTTGGCTATTTCATTTATCTAAATAATTCTTATATTTGAGTATGAATAAATTAATGATAAATGCAGTTATAATAATATTAAAACTGATTAAAGTTCTCTATACTACTCTCTTAAAGTAACGAGAATCTTGAAATTAATCTATCAGTTTAAAAAAATTATACTAAAAATTTGATAAATAAAAATACAAAAAGTTAAATATTTTTAATAACTTTAATGCCAATATGCAAATTATTATATAAATATTAAATTATAGACTACATGCACAAAAAAAAAAAAAAAAAAAAAAAAAAAAAAAAAAAAAAATAAATAGGAGAATTAAATGAACAAGAAATAAAATAAATATTGGTAATTTCAATGAGTTCAAATAAAAGTTTCTATACATTTTTATATGACGTTTAAGGATAATGATTGATTAAAAAACAATTTAGATATAATAACTGAATTTTACAAATATTTAATTTTATTCTTTAATTAATGTTTCTTTGACTGACAAATTGATATTTATATTACCATTGATATTTAAAATTTCAATGCATCAATGTTCGTGAGTATATAGTAGATACTATATACTCAATTTTTAAAACTCATCTGTATTTTAAGACATAATATCTAAAGTATTTTTTACAATTATTAATTGAAAAAAATTAATTTGAGTACATAAAAAATATAAGTTGGTATCATATTTAAAACATTTTGCTTCTTAATTTAATCAAACTTGTATTATCAAATTTAAGATACTAAAATAAGCCCTTAGCATTTATCGTAACGTTTTTTTGAAGTATGCTTTCCTATCCAATTTTTCTAAATAATTTATAAAAATATAAAGCTTATTCGATTAAATTCGATTTTATTTTTAAAATACATTAAAATAGTCTACACGCGTAATATTAAGTGCTTCTAATAATTATTCTTTATAATAATCTAATAATATAATTAAGAATATATAAATATAGTATATTTATATAGTATAGTATATTTAGATTATAATAAGTAAGAAATATAGTAGATTTTACTATATTTATTTATAGTCTATATAATACCAACAATTATAATACGAAATATGCTTTATAATAAAGAGTAATGACGAATATGAAAAATCAATTGATATATTAATATATCATGAATAAATGTTTTTAAATTATTTATAATTAATAAAATATAAAATATTTTATGATTTATTCAATTGTATAATGTTCATTATGTTCCAAAACATTTTATAATTTAAATTTTATTTAAATATTAAAAATTGCTAAATTCGTAACAAACAATTAGTAACAAATCTGGGTATTCAATAAGTAATGCAGAGTCAATAACATTTAAATTATAAATTTTCGATATGCTTATTTATATTACATTCAAATCATGCCAATGAATAGTGATTTAATTAGTTTTGCATTATCGATAGAAATGCAATAAAAAGTTTAATCCAAAATCATTCCGTGTATATGTAATTTGTTCTTTTAACTGAAAAATAACCTTTTATTCTTATTTATTATTAAACAGTCCCATATAATCATGATATAATATATATAATATAATATATCTCCATGAAATATATTGCCTTATATATTAGAAAAATTCGATAGACAGTCGTGTTGGTTTCAGATGCAAGTCAATACGCTCACTACGTATTCAATACGATAAAGCACAAACAAACATCTGGCAGAATAAACTTCGAGGTAAGTCATTCAATTTGAATGGTATAGCTTGTATCTTGATATTGTTTCTTGTTTAATAATAAAATTCAAATTATTAATTCCTTAAAAAAGATTATCGATAAATTTAAAATCGCTATTAGGTGCAGTACTTATATTAATTACTTATAATAATGCAATAGACTAGATTCAATTAACCAAATATAATTATTGAAATATCAATAATAATGTTGAATAATTTATAAAAATATTAAATTTTTATTGTGCAATGCTTTCAATTCAAAATATTTAAAACTACTTAGCCAACCATCATAATTTATTTTCAATGAATAAAAACGAAATTATTCTGAAATAGATAATTTTCTTAAAAAATAATATGATTTAAATAACGAATTAAATTAAATTAAATTAAACTAAATAAATATTATTAACATAATTATAAAGAAGTGCTGAATTATTTCAATAATTTTAATTTTTTACTATGAAATGTTTTTCAAAAATAATGTAATAAAAAGTTTTGTGGGTCCAATTTTCGTATTGTATGATACAGTTAATGTATTCATATTATTTTTAATTAATTAACTGATCAATGTTGTGAAATAACTCATTTTATTTATAATTAACCTAAAATACAACGTAGTCAATAGATGTACATTAAAGGCACGTAAATTATCATAAAATGAAATGAAATTAAGTGACATAAAAACTTTATAGTCAGCCATTTATAAAACGACGCATTTTAAACCCATTTTTGTATAGAAATTATTGACATTAATTTTCATATAAATATTACTTATTCAATATATAAAATGAAGTATTTTTTTCCAATTACTTTGAAACCTCGGGTGGAATTTGTAAATCTACGTAATACAAATAATAGTTTCTTTGGCATTGTTGTTCTATTTGAACTAAATATATATTTCATTATATACAAAATAGCGATCTGTTTATTAAAATTATATCAAACTAAAAATATATACATCAATAATAAAATAAAAAAACATGATAAAATTTAATGTTAAGTAATTGTATATTTCAAATAGATAATATTATATTTAAATAATGTTGAAACTAATTAAGATATGTTTTTTAATTAATAATTTCAATATTAGCATTTTTCATAAAATTTTTTTAGTAAATACATAGTTTGATTTATTTGATATTTTCTTTACTATACTGCCATTACTATTATTATAAAAATTAAAAAATTGAAAATGATTTAATCAATGTATAATTTATAATATTGTTTTTTTTAAATTCTGAATACTGTTTCTAAGTACTCAGATAGATTAAACACTAATTTTAATTATTAGTTACGTAAATAAAAAAATTCTAATACTTTGAATGACTTTTGCATCTTTTAAAAAAGTGAATATAATTTTTTAATAAAACTTACGAAGCGCTATTTACAAATGATATATAAATAGCGGTTTGTAAGTTTTTTTCTATATGTGTAACAAATATGGTAATAAAATAAATCATCTCTTTATTTATATGTGGAAAAAGAATTATAAGAATTTTTTATGAAATGTAACCTATGCATTATTAAACAACACAAACAAATACATACACGCAGTAAACATGCATATTTTTAAAATAATAACAAATAAAATTAACTTTGTTAAATTAAAATTGAAAGACATACGTTTAGCAAATGCAAAGCTTCGATCTTAACCGATAAGAACATCAGCTGTTAGTTTCCTATTCACAGATTTTGTGTAATTGTATACTGATTACCAAAATAACTTTGTTTGATTATTTACACGATGTACTTATTAAACTGGCTTATTTTAGTAAAAAATAATAATCTTATATTAGGATATTAATTCTATTAGATTTTTAATTTGCGCGCACTCGTATTTGATAATACTTGATTATAAAATGCGATTTTTTTTTTTTTAAATAATTTTCTTGAATAACACCCTGATTTCTCAAATATCACTATAAATACCTTCATCTAGACATATACATATTTTGCAATTGTAGTACAAAAGTTGTAGAATTTTTTATTTTCCCATTATATTGAATTACATATATATAAATTACATTATATTATAAATACGATAAAATATTAAATGCACAAATGTATACAGGAATTTTTAACAATCCTATCAAATATCTCACGCGGTACGGTAGAGGACAAGCTGCAATGGGTATTTGGTTTATATGACCTAGACGGTGATGGGCTCATTAGCAAGGATGAAATGCTGGATGTCGTAGGCTCGATCTATGAAATGCTTGGGCGTTACACAACCCCTCAAATTATCGAGCCCCACGTAGCGGCCCGTGAACATGTCGACCGTATCTTTCACGTAAGTTTTCCTTCCGTTTCCTTTCATTCTGCGGACTCGCACTATTGGATTTATGTATTGTGCAAATTTTTAAAAGTAAACGTCGTCTTGTCCTAGGGAGATGGTTTTATTACAATTCGGTAAAGAATGCATTTAATTAACATTATACTTGAATTATTTCTAAGGTAATTTTGTCGGTATTGATACACTCTCTCATAAGTAAAAAATCTATTTATTAAAAAATTAAAAATGTTAATCTGTCGTTTTTCTCATAAATTGAGAGCGATAATAAAATTATCAAAGCCAAATGTATAATTGCAATTATAACCCACATATATGAATTATCCTAAGGAAATTCCCAAGGAAAACAAAAAATTGCTGTTTTTATTCAGAAAGTGAACATAGAAAAAAGATAATAAATTGACATTCTAAGCAATTATTGTTATTAAGTATGCTACTATTCAAACATTAAAACATAGGGTGATCCAAGTACAATATGACCTGCAGAAATAACGTACATTGTCCATTTACAGATCAGACAGATGGCACGAAGAGTAGTTTTTGAATTCGAAAATAGTATAATGCTCTACTGCAAAAAATTAATTAGTTACATTTATTTTCTTTTCGATGAGTTCATCCTTTTTTTATTTTTTATTTGTTATTTATTTTTTTTTTTCAAAATGATGATGAACGTTATTTTTTGGGTTTTTGAGTGAACATAGTAGTACTCAAAGAAGTCTCTGGTGAATCTTTCTGACTATATCTTTTTCTAGGGTTTTCTTACTTTCGTATTATATCCCTCGAGACACGCATTCCTAGCTTTTCCCCCTACTCCTCTCGACCGCGGCGTAAGCCAAATTCTATTAGACTTTGATTTTATATTTTTTTTTTCTTTTACTCTCACTCTCAGTGTTATGCTTATTACGAATATATTTTTTAAATAAATAAATATATACTAATTAGCAGTGAATAAATTATAATAATTATATAAATAAAAAATAAAAGTATATTATAAATTATAATTTATAAATGCCTATAAATAATAAAAATATGAAAAAATATTGCTATGAATTTTATTTAAAATTTTATTTAAATAAATTTATGAACAATAATATATATAATAATGTCTTTAATGATCAAAAATAATTCAAATTTATCAATTAATATTTATAAATTTTCAATTAAAACTAATTTTATCCTGAAACAATTAAGTAAAATTTTTTAATATAAATTATATTTTCAATTTTATTAAATTATTAATTTTAATTATGATTAATTATAATTGCTTAAAAAATTTTTATCAATTATTTATGTATATATGAAATGTAACTTCTTTCATATAAAACATTTATAAATTTAAGCAAATGATTCGCACCGCTTGAAACTCAAATCATATTAAAATAGACGATTTATTTATTTATCTTATTAAATTACTTAACTTAATTCATCATCGAGGTTATCAATTACATTAGTAATATGAATTTTCTTCAAGAATATTATGTTATTTTTTTAAAACAATATAAAGCATATTCGTTACAATAAGTAGTTATTACATATATATATATATATATATATATATATATATATACATTTTATAAATTGATGTGGTTTGATTGCATATAAAGTTAAATTACACAATTAAATCTTCTGGATTAATCAACAAATTTTATCATAAAATATGTTAATAATTACTTGAGTAACTCCTTAACTGTTATACGTAATATTAATTACAACTTGTAAAAAAATGATGTATTATTTATGTATTAAAGAATTATTTCACCACACAATTAGTAAAAATGACAATTTTATTTATTTGTCAATGCATATGAATTATGTAAAAAAAACAGCTTATAGTTAATCTTTTCAAATTAAAGTAGTAATTACAATTCATAAACAAAATAATATTCTTCAGAATATGGTATATTCTATTTAAGATTTTCACTCGTTAGATAAACGTCAAATCTTTGTGTATAAGAAATAAAATATTATTAAATCTTAAAGGCAGCAACGGTATTATCCTTTATTTTCAAATATATTATATTATAAATTCAGCAAATGAATTTAATATTTATATTATGTATCGTTATATGAAACGATAAAGATTTTGTGAATTCCAAAATGATTGAGTATTATCTATGATCCAGTACATATTTTATTTCTTTACAAAGCTATATTATCCAATATCTTTCTTTTTAAGAATTCTCTACCTTGTGTAAGTAATTTAACATTTCTTAAAAAATTGAATCGATATTTTTAAATGTTCTTTCTTTCGAATTCTTTTTTTTTGTTATCGTTAATCAAGTATCGGCTTTAAAAGTATACAAAACTAATTAAAAAATAAAGTAGCATGTTATAATAACAGTCAATATAATTCTGAAAATCATGAGCATTCCTTGAGTTGAATATTAATATATTAATATTTTGTAAGATTAAATGATAAAATAAATGTTGAAGCTTTCATAAAAATAAGTAATTTGATTGGCACTCATAAATATTATGGTTTTATGCATATTGAAATACAAATACGTTTTAAATATATATATACATAAATGTTTATATAAGTAACATCTATTTAAATTCACTATGGAGTTTCAATAGAAACTTATGTTAATTCTCAGCTAATCGACGCCAACAAGGATGGCTTCGTTACAATCGATGAACTAGTCCAGTGGTGTTCCAAAGACGAGCATCTTCTGCGCAGCTTTGACACGTTGGATACAGTCCTGTAAAGGATCGAAAGCACATCTAAATTCTCATGGACAATATGACGCATTCGTGGAAGTATTTGTTGTTATTCCACAAGTAAGAACTGGGACGAAAAAAATAATGCGCAATGGGCACAAAACTACAAACGCCCATGATTTGTCCATAGATAATTTGAGGCTAATTCTCCTTCTCTGTTATAAAACTAATACTCCCAATTTCTCTCGCTCATACTTTCTCTCATTCTCTTTTTTCCAATGCATATGTGACTACTTAAAATACAAAAAAACCATAGATATGAGAAAAATACATTCGAAGCAATTACTTTTGGCCTATTAAAAAAATAGATAATATAAATTTAATAAATAAAGTATATAATCGATGTGTGTGTGTGTGTGTGTGTGTGTGTGTGTGTGTGTGTGTGTGTGAATGAATGAATGGGTGGGTGGGTGTAAAAACGTAATTAACCAACTATTACTATTTATAATTATAAAATCAAAATGAATGATATTAAATGCTAATTTATAATGAACAAAGGAAATTAAAATTTTGTAGGCTACGTTAATTGTGTACAAATAATGAATTTATTAAATTTATGTTAATTAAAAAGTCAAAAGAATAATATATATTTCGGTAAATACAATTATCTTTTCTTTTATTAAGATTTAAAATACCTACATAACATGAGTAATGATAATAAATCTAGAGCTTTTTATATTTGCAAAATAATTTGATAATCTTGTAAATTGAAATATATTACTTTATAAATTAGATTTTATCCAATTATGAGAAGATATCGAGAAAATTTCGCTTGGTGTTAAAAAATGTTTCCAAGTTATTTATAGTGTATATAAAAACTTAAATGATACTAAAATTTAGATTATTATTGACATTATATAAAACATCATTTTTTAAATTATAAAAATAAGGTTATCACCTAATAAAGATAAGTTTTAATTGTAAAGCAGTTATTTTTCAATCATATATTATGGTAATTAATACATTTTTTGTAAAAATCTAAAAGAATTATATACCAGTGAATGAATTGATTTAAAAAATATTCGTAAAATATTTATCAATAGATGAAATCAACTTAAATAACATATAATTGCAAATAATCGTAAATTATCTTCTATTAAGCTACTAATTTAAATTCTATAACGTTGAAAGACGGCTAGTTATAAAACTTCGCCCGAACATTTTTTCCTATGATAATTATATTATCGAATACCAAGTAGATCATTATATTTTAATATCAATGAAAATTATTTAATAAAATAAATATTTATTCGATCTCAAATTTTTCAAAATTTTGGTAACTTTTATATTCATGTACAATATGTTTAAAATTATAATTTAATTACAAATTATAAATAATAGAATTTATTATACAATAATTTTTGTACCAATAAATAATTAAGCTGTTTGATTAAATGTGCCAAACTATGTAATTTTTCAAAAAAAAATTTTAAATATAAATTATCGTAAAATTCATTCACTGGACAAATTTTTAACTTTAAAAAATATTTTTTAGAAATAAAATTAGTGTTATTAAATTGATAATCAGCTTTTCCTATATGTATATATAATTAGAACTCCATTGATCAATCTTATTATTAACGTTTAGTTTCTATTTTATTTATTATTCAATTACTTAAATTTCAATATGAGAAAAAAATAATTATATTCAAATCGAAATCTGTATGAATCAAATATTACTTCGAATAGAGTTTTGATAAACAAATGTACATTATTTTTAGTCTAATAGCATTACATTTAGTAAAACTAATTTATATATCAATTATATTGTAATATATGAAATAATTTTCAACCAAAATATTTATTAAATTGTATAGCATTAATAATTTCAAGATAATTTAAATAAAGCTTAAAAAAATTTAGAAAAAAATATAGAAGATGGAATTATTTTTACATTCGAGTTTACGGAATATATTACTAATTTTATATTTGATATATATTATAGAATATATATTTATCTAATAAATATATGTATTAAAGTAAATATCTATATATGCATAAAGTAATTCACACTTAATAAAAGAAATTATTAATATTACAAATCAGAACACATATAAATGTACTTGTACATTATTTTAACTGAACTTTTGAAATATTTATGTATCATTTGGTAACTATAATATATAGTCTGTACAATAATATTTTAGAATAAAAAATAATATAAATTTAATTTCAATTAAAGGTATTCTCTTGTAAAAATTGTAATAATATCTAGTTATATATTTTACATATTACAGCAAAATTATTTCTTAAAACTCAAATAAATATAATTATAACTTATAGATATATTAAAAGAATTGTAACTTATACAAAATTTTAATTTTGAATATCAAGAAATATCTATTAACTTAATAGAATGTTTTATTAGCACATGTATTGACTAAAAAATTCTTGTACCTGATAATCAATTGTATTAAATAATAAGTTAATTTCAAAATTGAAATAAAATCTAATATTCTAATACCAATTTTACTGAAAATAAAAAAAAAATTAATTATTGTATAAGAAAAATAATTTACAGTAATAAATATATTATACATTTTTATAAAAATACTTCAATTTAATAGAAATTTTCAATTAACAAATGTAAGTACTTTTAAATGATCTGTTGTATTGAAAAAGTAAGTTACATTTGTTATTTCTTTATTCTAAATATTTGAATTCTTATACACTATTTTTATTTACATAATTAATAATATAATGACACTCAAATTAAATACACATAGAAGTCTATATCATGCTAATCAGAATATTCGGTACACACAAATTATTGATCTTAAATTCTGTATATATTAAATAATATCACTTTTATTTATCTAAAGAAATAAATTTTCACTATCGAGAATTATAATTTTCTTGCGTCAAAATTAATTAAATGTTCATAAATAATTTATAATTTATGCCAAATATGCTAATGTGACTTTAGAGACAAGAACAAAAATTATTTCTCTAAAAAATATAAATACCTTCTATTTAATCTTTTATAAATAATACCTATATGATGTACCTGACAAGTGCGATTTTAGTGTAAAAAGCTAAACAGCTAATTTATTTAGTTTTTAAAAACATACTTGCAAAAAGAATTACAATAAAAATAAAATATAATGTAAACATATTCTGTCATAGTGGAATATGTTTAGAAAAAAAGAAAAACTAATGTATCATCTACATATTATAATTCTAATATTTTTTCTGCTTCAATTTTACATTAATCTTTGAACACTTTTCAATTTAAATATAAAAATAAAAATTATAACAATTATAAATCTTATATTAAAGAAATTATTAATCACTCTTTAATATATATATATATATATATTAAAGATAAATATATATATATTAAAGATATATATATATATATATATATATAAGAAAAAGGTAGAAATAATCTTATTTACAAAATAATAAAATATATTTAAATAAATGTATATACTTTAATTTACTTTTTCATCCTTCTAATTTGTAGTATAAATTACACATAAATATCTATATTACTTAATATATCGAAAACATTTAAAATTCACATTAGTTAATTCATATTCTTTGAATTCATGATAGTTATAATATATAAATGGAATTACATAAAAAAAATCGTAGAAACATTGTAAACTCTTTTAGATTATTTCATCAAATAAAATAATGAACGTGAAACCACCAACATAACCATAAAAGTTTAAATAATAAAAAAATATTTAATACATAGCTTAGATAAATAGAAATTAATTATTTATTATTTATTATTTAGATAAATAGAAATTAATTTATGTATGATATATATATATATATATATATATATATATCTATTCTTATTATATAACTTAAAGATTTAAAATAAGGAAACATGTAGTAACCAGAACAAATTTTTTTGATTTTATATTATATTGAAATATAATAAAATTATTTTCCTTTCAACATTTGGAATTATAGGTAATATAGAATGCTGTAATTTTCAAACTGTAGTAATATAGACATTTCATATTAATTGTTTACATTGTATTTAATTATCTTAATTAACACTTTGTGTATGTAAAATCAGAAGATTTTGGTAAAATAAATATAAAATGATTCAAAATATTACACATGTATATATATCAACTGCTAGGATGATAAAAGATAATCTTTATATATTTTAATTTGTAACTTATATTTCATTTAAATGAAAAAACTCAAAAGCTAGTTAGCTAAATTTTATTCAAAATAAAAACAAAGCCTATATCACCTCTTTGATTTGCCTCATTTTACTTATTTTCATAAAATTATAATTCTGATTTACATACTTCCGATATATCAAATTTGTAAATCAAAAAAATGTAAAAAAAGTGTATAAAAGTAATAACTAATAAAAACTGAAAAGCAGAAAGCAAGAAAAGAAAAGCATTAGATATATATCCTAATTCTTTTAAATATTTATTTTCTAGCTTCTACACTTCTGTATGCTTATTAAATTGAATATTATAATTTTTGTAGTCAGTTATAAAAATATCATTACCAACTTTGAAATTCATCCATTTAACTAACATGTTAGAGAGCAACTGAGAATTATAAAATATTGAAAAAATAAGCTTCTATGGTTGTTTGATTCAAAATGAAATTTTTAATTAATTATCTTTATGGCACATTTATAGATTAAATAAAATTTAATTTATGGATACGTTTACAAATTAAATAAATCACATGAAGTATTCTTTGAATATTGAAATTTTTTATTTAATATTATAAATTTAATTTAATTTAAAAAAAAAAGAAATTATGATATTTTTATCGTAATGATAAAATTAAAGAAAAATTATAAATTTAATGAAAATCTTATCTTCAATTGCTTTGAATGATTATAATAACAAATTATAAATAGATCTAAAATAAGCCTATTTAGAAAATTATTACAAAAAATTATGATACCGTATTCAAAATAGTAAATTATACTATTTTTAATATATATATATATATATATGGGTAAAATAGCCGAGAATGAATTAGTAAATGATATCCTTACAATGTAAAACATAAATACAGTGTCAAAACAAAAGAGCAGATAAAAAATAGAAATGTAATCAATATACTGTCTAGATAGAAATCGTGGGGATAAAACTGTAAAAGGATGAACTAAATTATTTAGAAAATTGGATTTTTTACAAAAATTGTACTTGCTTCTTATATATTGAATATAAATTCATTAAACATAATACATATGATTATGCGTAAGATTATATTTTTCTACATTATGAATTTATAACGAATATTGTTTCATTTTCAATTAATATAATTCAAATTTAATTTTTTTTTTTTTTAAACAAATTATTTTCCAAAAAATATTCCGGTAAAATAAGATAATTAAAAGCGTATGAATTAAGTATTAAATCAATAAAAAAAAAATTTAGAAAAAACAATTTAAAGTTCGCAGAAATTATTCGATTTTTTATACTTCAAACATAGTATTAGAACTATTGCAATTTATAAATTATACATATATATTGAGGACTATCATTCACATGTATTTAAAATTATATCATTATATTTGATGTATAAGCTTATACTTTCATATTACTATTCTATATAATGAATTATTTTTATTTTATATAATACAAGCATGTATTAGATATTATAGCAAATTCATAGGCTAGATCGTACGTACTTTTATGGTAAGTACACACTGCGAGTACTATATATAATAATTAAATAATTTAAATAAATAAATAATCAAAACTATTGTGACATTAGATAATCTCTGAGAGAAGTTATTTCTCTTTATTAAAAAAAAAAACATCAAAAACAACGTAATACGAAAGAATAGAACGTGTTAACAATTGTCATGCATAGTCTGTAATAAATATTTTCTTTAAAGAAATGCCTTTGAAAATTTATTTGCATCCTAACTATAATATATAAAAAATCAAAATATATAAAACTTTCTATTCTAATATAAACAAAAAAAAATTATTTGGAACAAAACTTAATAAAAAGGAATACAAATATTTTTATATACAATATAAACAGGTATGTTTTATTAAAATTATTTTTTATGTATGATTTTCCGTTTGAACGTTAGATTTTTTACATGGATACTATTATTTAATTAATTGCTTATAATTAATTCTATACATCATTTTTAAACCCTCTTTAAAATTTATGGATTCTAAAATTTGCAATATTCTTCTTTACAAAAACTATTTACATACTATTAAAGGTCAATGTATCTTAATTGTCGAATATTAACAATTAATATGTATTACAATGCATTGTAATAAATATTTACAGAATTTGAGGAGACATTATCTTGCATGTATATATTATATAGTGTTTGCATGATATGTGTGTGTGTTTGTGTGTGTGTGTGCGTGTGTGTATCTTGCATATATAGTTTATAACTAAACATATATTACTTCAGCTAAAGCGGATGAAGAAAAATATTGAGACTACTAATGATTAATGATTATCAAAATCAATACTTTTAAGCGTTTTATTATTGGCATTATTATGTGATTAAATTTATAAATAAATTTGTTTAATTTTTTCTTCATTTAACTTGAACGTTAGTTTAAAACTCAACGCCTATAAGTTAAGCTGACATTTTTAAATCGACATATATCATAATTAATTTTGGCCAAGTGTCACCTTTAAAAGATCATATAAACAAATTCAACTTTATCTGTATATTCTAATATAAAGAGTGTGTATATTCCATAACAATTTCTTTGCTATATTATGTATTTTTAAATTGAGTTATATATTTTTCAGTTACTTTTTATTAAATTAAAAATATAAAAAATAAAATTGTAAAAAATTAAAAAAAAAATTCTATCTATTTTATGAATTGATATTCCAAATTATATATACATAATAGAACTTTGACGATTGTTTTAAAAATATTTTATATAAAAAATGTCTCTGGATTAAATATTTTGTTACGAAAATATATGTTAATTTTTACATTTTTATTAATTCAAGTATGCTATTGCTTGTAAAAGATAAAGTAATTGATATATTTGTTATTTTATGTAATTTACATATATTGTCTACATAGATTGTTTATATTTATCGTTGTAACTAATTTACACTATTTTCTGACTTTCGGTCAAATTATTTTAATATTCAAAGCATACAATTTTACCGAAGTATATTTTTTAAAATAAAACTTTAATATTTTAGGAAAATAAAAAAAAACAGAGAAGTTACTTTAAATAATGTCGTTTTAAAACTTTAACGAAAATTTAAAAAAATGTAATGAAATCATTATATTAAATAAAGAGTTAAATAAAAAAACTATATTACTAGTATAAAACAGTTACTATAAATTTAGTAATTTTATTAAAAATTTTGAATATTTTTATATAGTTTTTACAGTTTTATAAATTACAGATTTCATAAGAAAGAATTAATCCTATAACAATAAAAATTATGTTTTTTTTTTACTTAATAATACTTTAATCAATTTATTTTGTTTTATTTGGATACATTTTTATAAATTATTTAACATATTTTTCATATTGTTTTAAGGTAAGTATATAATGACAAAATTTTTAATAAAACTTTTATTCATTCCAAAAAATGAAAACATTTTATTTATACATTTATTCAATTTCCTTTCTTTGTTTAATTCTTTATGTATCAAGAATTACAGAATTACATTGTATAAAAGAGTTAATAATAAATACACTTTTTGACCATTGTAAAATTTTCGTGAAAATTAATATTTCATGACTACCTACTGCCACTCAGTATATCTTATGTACAATATTCTTAAATGAAATATAATTAATAAGTATTAATTAAATGCGAATAATATACAATCTTAATGTCACGTAAAATGTCAGGTAACTATTTGGTTTTCACAACAAAACATCAATTTATGAAAAATTCGTATTAAATAACGAAACTTGAATAATAACGAATCAAGTAAAAATTATAAAATTAAAACTAATATGTGAAATAATTAAGTCGATGTTAATAAAATTTCTTTGGCATTTGTGCCAACGGCTTCGGCGACCGATTGATAACCATCCTTGAGTAAAAGCTCGCTTAGCTCACTCTTAATTTTCGCGATGATTGGCGGCCCGTGATAAGCGAATGATGTGTATATCTGTACAAGGGAGGCACCGGCTTTTATCTTTGCATAAGCATCGGCACCGTTAAAAACACCACCTACGCCAACAATCGGTATTTTACCATTTGTAAGTTGGTACATATTGGCGATCATAATAGTCGACAACTCAGCTATCGGTGCTCCACTCAATCCACCGCTTTCTTTCTTTAACTATAAACATTTATTTATAATATAATATAAATTTGAATATTTCATAGAATTCAAATGCAATAGAATATCTCCATCTTGTTTAAACTAATTCAGATTATTTTAAATCGATAAGCACTATACTCTATATACGTTGATGAACGTATGCCAATGCAATAATAAATTGATCACCTATTCCAGTCACATTTCAAAAACGTATAATATATTTAGTTAAAAATGACATTACATGTGAAAGAAGATTTTTGGCTCGAAATTTTTAATTAAAAAAAAACAATCTTTTAAGGATATTACATTTATTTAAGGCTTAACCAAACTCACATTGTTCGATAAGTTGATCCGTCTCAACGTCGTATTCGAAATTATGATACCATCTACGTTTGTCTCGGACTTCTGTACAATTTCGGCAATATCCTTCTGCTCCTGATTTGATAAGTCAGGTGCAATCTTAAGTAGGAGAGGCGGTCTTTTCGGCAATGTTGACCTCATTTCGTTCACCACAGTTAAGAGTTCTTCAAGTTTAAGTCTATTTTGCAAACTACGTAAACCTGGAGTATTTGGGCTCGATACGTTAATGACGAAGTAGTCGGCAACATCGGAAAATTTTGAAATACCCTCTATGAAGTCTACATTTGGATTGTTACTGTTTTTGTTCTTGCCTAAATTCACCCCAATTATACCTTGAAATCCAGAACTCTTTAGGTCTTGAAGCCGTGAATGAACAACTTCATGACCATCGCTATTGAACCCATAACGATTAATAATAGCTCGATCTTCCGTTAGACGAAAGACCCGAGGTTTCGGGTTGCCCGATTGAGGTTTTGGTGTGACTGAACCTATAAAAAAAAAAAATGAAATAAGTTCCTTTGTGCTGTATTAATTTACACGAAAATTGCTAATAAAATAATGCACTAATGGTTGATATTCTATATTTAACATTTTTATAATCTTACTGCTAAGTTATTACTGAATTTAAATTGTACATTTTTTAAAAATTCTATTTTTATTATAAATTAATTTTATTAAATCTTAATTTATATTGATTCTTTTAAATTTTCTAAAAATATCATTGCTTAATTTTGATTAATTGATCAATTTACATATTTAACTTTTATCATAAAAATTATCAAAATATAAATATGAAAAAAGTAATTATATAATTAAATAAATAAATGCATATTAGTTTATTGTTCAAAATTTATATATAATTTTGTATTGAAAGCTATTTTACAAATTGTATAAATGTACAAAGAAACTTTTTACATAATATATCAATGTATAAAAAATTATATAAATGCTTTTTACAAATTTATTATAAAGAATTATGCAGTAATTATTATTAAAATATAAAAGCTTAAGTTGTACACATCTATTGAATATATATTGCACTTGCAAAAATTATTGTGATAATAAATAAATAATTACATTAAAAATATTTATTTCTACAAATTCTTAAATATAGAAATAATGAAATTACTTTTTAAAAAAACTTTTTAAATAGTGTAGTATTAGTTTATGCTTGAAAAAGTTATAAAATAATAATTTTAATAAGGAAAGGTAAATTTTTTTTATATTTTAATTTTAATTGTTTATAATAAACAAGTCTAAGTAATATGAATAATAATTTTTTATAGGAACATCATTATTCAACTTATTACATTATATTCCTATAAATTAATCATAAGTTGCCTTTCATTAAATTATAATACAAAATATTTTATATCTAATATTGCTTAATATTTCAAAATATATGTAAAAATTAAATGTATTTAAATGATATTTTTATTTCTAAAGCACAACTATACACACACCGTGCACAAACACACACACACACACACGCACGCGCGCACACACACACACACACATATATATATATATATATATATATATATATATATATGCGTTTTTAAAATATCCTACCAATTTCTACAAAACCAAAGCCCATTTTATGAAGACCCTTAATAGCCTCGCCATGTTTATCGAAACCAGCAGCCATACCAAGAGGATTCTCAAATTGCAGACCCCATAATTTGCTCTGAAGTACAGAAGAATGAGTAATTTTTTTAATCGATACCAAGCCCAATTTTGTAGTAGTTATAGCTAAGCGATGGGCAAACTCTGGATCAATTAAATAAACCAAAGGCATAGCAATATTATTGTAGAATTTTTCATTTCCTTCATATAAGGAAATACCAGAAAAAATTACTATTCCACCACTAGTCACTCCAAAAAATGATTTGAGTTTTCTCCAATTACTTAAATTAAGTAAAGATCTTGCCATTATGCATTTAAAATGTGAGTAAAGAGTAAAAAATATTTTTCTTTTTAATTTAATTACTAATATCTCAAACTATGCTCTATTCTCTTATGTTATAATCATAAATATTAGTAAAATATACTACAAAGGCTTTTACCCAAATATTACTTTGTATCACATATTTACAATAATAGGTTATGTTTTTATACTATGACTATAATATAAACAGTTTTGTTGGCATTGCTGCAAATAATTACTAGGTTATTTTATACAGAAATTTTATGGTGGATAATTTATAAATTATTATTTTATAACGAACTATATTAAATACCTTTCCATCTTAAGTTCATATAAAATTGCCCATATGAGTATTAATAAAGTTGGAACATTGAATATTGTTTACCAATATTTTAAAAATTTTTTTATGTTTGTTATAATGTCACATTTAATATGTAAAAATGAAGCGTAAAAGAACATAGATATTACATAATACTGCTGTAAAATAAATTTTGTTTTTATAAATGGGAAAATGTTTAAATAATTTTTATTAAGAATTGTTATATAAAATACTTTTTTAGTAATAATATATTATAAGAGTTTTGTTGTAGAAATGTTATATTTAATATTATATTTTACAATATTTCTAAAAATATTTTTATTCTTTTTACATATTGAAATATTAGATGAATGATGATAGATAAGCTGTTTATGATAATATAAACATAATTTATATATATTTAAATGACATATTTCAAAATAAACTGTTTCCGTACATTTTATTATGTAATAAAAATTAATTTCAAATAAAAATGGAAAAATATTATTAGAAATATTTACTTTCTTTTTTTTTTTTTATGTAAATACTTGAATTTTTTAGATTATATAAAAAAATTATACACATAGACAAATTTCTATTACAAATAGAAATAGTAAAGGGTTGCAATGAGAAATTTTCCAAGATTATTTGTTAAATTAACGATTAAAAAATTATAATCAATATAAATTTTTACACACAATATTGACACAGTATAATGAAAATTTAATTATAAATAATAGATAGAAACAAGATTAGACATTTGAAATTAAGAATTTTAGCATTCGAATATTTACATAATGTAACGAATAACAACATTTATTTATACAAAAATAAAAATCATTACACAGTAGTAAAATAGAAAGAATAATATTCGCAATATCTTATGTGTACAAATTGCTTTTCATTAGTCGTCAGTAGACGAATTATTATTATTATTATTATGAGGGAAACCTAAATATAACCTCAAAAAAAATTAAATATGACAATGTTCTTTCGCCAGCTTAGTGCTTAAAATATTTAATGAGTTATATTAGCATCACCTTTTAAATACAGACTGTTGAATACGTATGCATACATTTCATGTATAAATATACATAATGTTTAAAGAGCAATAGTATATAAAGAAATAAAAACATGTTTTTACTCATCAAATTAATTTTTGATTTATATTTAGCAATTGATATTAATTAGTCTAGTGTTCATTCCATTCCATAATGTTGGCATACATATTTTAAATTGTACATCTGATCGTTCTATATTATTACATATTATGTATTATAATATACTAGTATAGCATTAGAATAGAAATTAATTAAATTAAAAGAATCAAAAATTGATTTTATTTAAATTATGTCATATTCTAAGTACAAAAGTTTCCTACATAATTTTGTTTATATATAAAAATGGCAAAAATTCAATGGTTTTTGATAAGAAAACCAAAGATTTTATGGTAAGAAATTATTTAATATAATATTTATGGTAAATCAAGTAATAATCACTACTTTTAGTTTCAATTTTAATCAAATGTTACTTCGTTTTCGAATTACATTTAAATCTCTATTTTATAATCATTATTTGAATTGGAATTATGTATGTGATACATTATTGGAACCAATTTTATGGTTTGTTGAGAATTTTACAGCTTGTCTTGGCCCAGTAAGTATTCTTTATTTATTTATTTATAAAATTATTTAATAATAATGAATTTCATTATTGTCTCTCATCTATATTTTACAGGTATTTATAGTAATGGTCAGTTTGCTAACAATTTTAATTGTATATATTGCCTATTATATAGGTTTACCATATTGGTGGGAAAAGAGTCCAGAATTTGCAATAGTTTTATTGATTGTTGGAAACTGGTTGTTAATTAATATCTGCTTTCATTATTATATGGGAATTAATGTACCAGCAGGTTATCCACCTAAGGGTGGACTCATACCTGAAGCTGTTAGTATTTGTAAAAAATGTATTAAGCCAAAGCCACCAAGGACACATCATTGTTCTATATGTAATAAATGTATTCTAAAAATGGATCATCACTGTCGTATCCTTTTCATTATTTATATGAAAAAGTTAATTATTTAAATTCAGATTTATTACAAAATTATTACAATATATTGTTTGAAAATTTTCTAATCGATTTGAAACTATTAATATCACATTTATATTTAATCTTGACATAATTTACTGATTAGACGATTTTATTTTCAAACATTATAATATTCTAATTTTAACGAACTTCAAATTTTACATAAATTATTAGAATAAATAACATAAGTTAGAATACATTGTACTGTTAGAATTATAAAGTCTCATCTATTAATACTGATGATTCGATAATATTCTTTTATATATTTAATATTATGTTATATCAACTTTTGTCTTAATCCACTACATAATAAAATTTCTTAACAATTTTTGTAATATAGCTTGGCTAAATAATTGCGTTGGACATTATAATCATAGATATTTCTTCCAATATATGGCATTTACAGGCTGTGGAATAATATTTCTTATAATTTTTGGAGTACAACTAGCATATGAAGAATTTTTTCCTTCTTCAGAATTAGAAATTGATGGTCATCCTGTACGCATACATAATTCTGAAATTATTTCAATGGTAAATTTAATATAATACTTAACATTAGTTTAGTATTGGAGTGAATATATTTGTATGAAATATGTAATATTATGTAATATTTTATTATAGACTGAATCATTAGATCATCTAAGTAAAGAAGAAAGAGAAGAGATAGTCAAACAGGCAGCTGGAAGAAAAGAAAGTGAATATAGGCGAAAATTAATAATTTTGGCTGCTCTAATTTGTACAGCAACACTAACCACATTAGGGGCTTTGATATGGTGGCATGCTGGTCTAATTAGCAGAGGAGAAACAAGCATTGAAGGTCGCATTAACAGCACTTTGGAAAAGAAATTCAAAGCACAAGGAAAGATGTATAAGAATCCCTATGACTTTGGACTAAAAGAAAATTGGAGACTGTTCCTAGGTTTACAAGACAGGTAATACAGTTTAATGAAAATATTCATAAATTGTAAAGGAACTATTTCTAAATTTTTATTTTTAAATTACTCATTTTTAATTTAATTAAAATGTTTAAATTTTCTATTCTTAGAAGATGGTGGCATCTTTTATTTCCATCAACACATGGACCATATGGTGACGGTCTTATTTGGAATACTGCACATAATTCAAAAGCATCTTGACTGTATAAATAAAAAATAAATTGTATAATTATGAGATCATCCTCACAAAGATGTGAAAACTATAATATTTTCACACTTGATTAAAACTGAAAATATATATTTAAGAAAGTAATAGTATTTGATAAAGTACATATTAAAATATTGAAATTAAAGTACGTATTATGAAAATAAACAAAATGTTTATATAACGTCATTATTGAATGTCATGTTTTCTTATTGGTTGTTTCAAATAAACAATCTTAGCTTCCATATTTTATAAATTTACGATACAACGAACGAATTAAGTAATGAAATTAAAAATTTATCTTTTGAATAAATTATTTTATATCTTATAAATAATTAATATCTATAAAATTTTAATTCAGTACACAAAATTAGCTAAATTATGTCTTAATTACTAAAAACTATTTTATTAAATTGATATTTCTTACAGTATTAATCAAATATACCTTATAAAATAATTTCATTCAATCAACATTTTATAATTTTTTAGAAAAATTATTCATTTTTACAAATATTTAAGTAAATTGAAATATAAATTTATTTAATATATTTATTTAATCATGTTCAAAGGAAATAATATGAAAATATGAAATTTATTAAAAAATCTTAATATATTAGACATAGTTAAAAACTTTATATTCATATATAACAAATTTTTAAATTCTTTACTTAGTAAAAAGTAAAGAATGCTTTATGCATTGAAATTTTTAATTTTTTTTTAATAAATTGACACTCAAATATATTAAAATTATATTTAAAAAATACATAAAGTTAGGTTATTTTCACCATTAATAATTTAACCTTTAATTTAAACGTTAAAAAAAATTAATGTCAAAATACTTCACTTCTGCACTCTAGTAATACTTTTATTTGTTAAGTGTTAATTAGTAATTATAATAAAGACGATGCTTTATTTGTATCTAAATTACATAAAAGCTCAATAAAAGGCAACTTGTTTGTAACTTGTCTCCACTACAAACTAATTTTCAATATCTCCTATTCGGCATTTCTACTTTCTCACTTATTTGTTTGCTTGAAAAAGAGATTCAAATGAATACAACCCTAACGAGCTATGGCCGTCTTCATCCTTAGTTGAACTGTTAATTCCCGTAAGGCGTAGTCTAACTTTCAGCTTCGTAAGTGAGTTCATTCTCGTCATTGCCTTCATTCTAATTGGACCTTTGGTCAATAGCAAAATAAAAAAGGACTTTTGGCGGCAGTGAATGCTAAAGCAAGTGTGCGTGCCTCGCGGAAAAAGTAGCGTGCATGGTTCTGTTTTCGATGGTGTGCAATTCAAAGAGCAGCATTTGTTTATGGTGCAATAAAAGACTACGTGCCTCCGGATTATCCGATAAAAATGACCAAAGAAGGGTCATTGTTCACCAGCTCCCAAGAGGAAGCCTTATTACAAGAATATATGACAATAAAAGATTTCGATGGACAGATGTAAGTGTATATAACCTAATTCGATTTCTGAAAAACAAGTTTCAACTTGCGTCATCTTTCTTATTGGCCCTTTTTCTCTTCAATTCAAACGCACGCTTAGAATTCACACTTATCTGACAAACATCTTAACAAATTTTACAATAAATTATGCTTAATTAATTAAGATTACTTATCTGTTTAATATATTTATTCTGTATTTTGGATAGAATGAATATTTTTCTTTGTCTATAACACGCTTAATATCAATAGGTTTTTATAATGACCGTTGTATTTATTTTGTATTTATACAAACAAGCTAAAAGATTTGCTGAAATTAAAAGCCATTGAAAAGATTTGATTGCCTTAAACATCAGAAAACGAGTCAAAGATTTCTTAATATAATTTTTTGTTAATAAAATCATGCATTAGGTACATCTCCATTTTGTAAATGTAGAAGCATTTGTATAAATTTATTAATAATTTGAATATAACCCTGCTAATGATCCTATACAATGATAAACATTTTCCTTTCAAAATTGATATGTTCATACCATGAATATGGTATCATATTAATATAAAAGTTAGTTGTTTATATTAACTTTTAATTTATTATGATAATTTCTTTTATGTGATACATAAACTTTAAGCTAATTAAGATTTTGTGTGCATTGCTAATTATTGTAACTTCTATCAATTTTACTATAATTAATAATATTAATATGTACTTGAGCTTATACACATAAAACATATAAAACTTTCAAACTTTCTGGCCTAGTGCACTAGCATATATCACTATCATATAACACTTATTAATAGTTTTTTGTTGTTTTTAATTATATTTAAAAATTTCTATGTAAATATTGCATTGGATTTTATTATAGCAAACTTTTAACGAGGATATTTTTTTAAAAGGTTTAAATTAAATTAGATTTGAAATATGAATATATTTATATATCAAAATGCCATTAAATGTATTGACATTCCTACAGCTAAATGCATTTAATATTTCTTTTGCTAAATAAATTATTCATTTTTCATCTATTATTTATATTCGAATTATTACATTTTTACAGGTTTTGAAATTGCTAAAAATACCAAGGGAAATGTTCAAAGTAATACAAATATCAAAATTAATTGATTCAGTCATTTTATTTATTTTTAAAGTTAATCTGAAAGAGTATGAAATTGAATTCATATGACAGCGTTTGAATACAAATATAAACATTTTTAAAATATGATTTCTTAATTAGTATTTTTTCTAATAATTAGTGTATTTTTACATACAGAATGTTTGCGTATACGCATGTATATTATATGTATGTATGTAGGCTTATATATTGTGAATGTGTTCATGTGTGTGCGTGTGTGTGCGGTTTATGTTTGCATGAATGTTTATAGTGACCTTAAATAAATAAAAATAAACAGTAATATTTGTGTACAATACAATAAATTATTTAATTTTTTGTACATTTTTTTTAATAATATGTATTATAATATTTTAAAACTATGTATTCCATACAGTATTTATTATTTAAAAGACTTATATTACAATAATATTTAGAAAATTCTAGACAAAATTTAAAATGTTTAATCCTTCCTTATTAAATTACACTTATTATGTACACCTTATTAAAAAAATTAAATTATTAACAATTAAAATTTTATAGAACTGTATACGTAGTAATATTAGAAATGAAATGGATGAGTATGTAATATTATTATTTTAATCATTTTTTAAAAATACAAATATTTGTGTTATAATTAAAAAAATATTTTAATGTTTATTCTAATGTAATTGATGAATTCTCAATTCTTATTAATAAAAATAAAATTAAGTTAGTACTAATTAATAGTAATAATTATAAAATAAAATACTAAATTCATAATTTATATTTTAATTATATACGATAATTATAATAATCAATAAAACAGTCTTAGGGTTCAAATAATTATATTTAAATGTATTAAAAGTTAATATAAAAATATTTAAATGTTTTTAAAACCATGACAGTATTACTTTCAAATTATTAAAATCTTCATAATTCGCATATATAAATATTAACAATATACAAAGAATAACATGTGCATGTTGAATTTTTATGAATATATTATAACGTGAACTATACTAATTTATTAAAACGAGATTCGTATTACCGCTATCAAAGAATTAATATATCAAATGTAAGAGTTTTTTCATTTATATAAATGGATATTCAAATAAAATAAAGTTCATATAAATTCAAATACAGTCTTCATTGAAACATTGTAGAGTTTGAACGTGTTTACACTTATCGAGTGCCGCGAATTTTTCATTTTCAAGCCACCTTATACCAACAAGTAAATAAACAGATAGGGACAATTACAACGCTTATTATCGGTACAAATTATGTGTTTAACGAAAAAGAGTTCCTCCGAGTACATCTGGCTCATCTCAAGATGAATCCAATGGCTAAAATCCTGCCTCATATTGCGCCACGTTCGTCAAAAAAATTTAAGGTAAATCGAAATCACCAACAATTTCAATTCTAACAGATGATAACAATAAAATTATTTTTTCAATAACAATTAAATCAGACAATGAACACTTGATTATATACAGTAAATAGATTAATTGAAAATGATTTATCTAATCATCTAATAGAATTACCAAGCACGCTTTTAAGTAAATATCAAAACCGCAATTTCATAATACATTTAGTATTCAATATTCTATTTAAATAATTTTCACTAACTGTATGTGAAAATGTTTAATTGTCGTTTATTTTAACAAAGATATTTCTAATGAAAATTAAATATTATATAAAAATTATGTAAATATAAATCGTGTTCCAAAAATTTTAGACTAATCGCGTTATTTTTTTTTTCCTTTATCGGTCGTTTAACTAACAGCCTAGATTAATTAATATCTACTATTAATTACATATAAATCGCCAATGTATGACGCATTTTGAAAAAATCTTGTATTCAATTTCTATAAGCTCAAGATGTTCAAACGTCATAATATTATTGATAGTTACCATATAAAACATTAAAATATATTTAAAAGTAAGAGTAATTAAATAAAACAAATAGAATTTTGTTTTACTCGAACGTGTGAGGAAAATGGTTTTACAAAAGGTTCATTTAACATGTCTGTAATGAACAACATTGAAACCAAGAATACATTAATTTTGAAATAATAACTAAATTTATAAAATTGATAAATTATGTTAGGATAAAACGTATATCATCATTTTTTTAACAAATATATTTGTATATATTTTTAAACATATTTTTTGCTTTAAACATGTTTTATAGAATTTTGTGGAATATTATCGATAATATAATTATAATTATAATATGTGTGTGTGCGGGTGCGTGCGCGCGCGTGCGTGTGCGTGTGTGTGTGTGTGTGTGCATATAAACTTTATTGGAAAACACTCACAATTACAAAATAATAACAATATATTTTCACTTTGAAAAAAAACTAAAAGATAAAATATTAAGAAAGATATATATAATATAGCAAAGAAATATTAAGATAAAACAGTTTTATAATTAAATGTCAATATAAAATATATACTGAATTTTATTGTTATGCATTTGTTGAATATTTCAACACTAATATTACACGCAATAAAAATATTGTATAAAAATCAGCAACACAGAAAAATATCGAATATATTTTTAATTTTTTTGTAAATATTCAATCGAATAGTATACTCATTAAATTGATCGATTTAAGTTGTAGAAATTGATACTTACAAAATGTTGTTAGGTTATTGATTTCAAAATTCGACCATTAAGCCGACTAAAATATAATCACAAAATTTTATTTAAAATATATGTCTTATTAACGGAAAATGAATGAAATTCCGTTGATAAAGTTAAAATTAAGTATATTAGCAGTCACTAAATAGTACTGTTTAAATGAAATTTATGCATTTATTAAACAATTAAATCTAATCCTTTTTTTCTTTCTATAAAAAGAATTTCTAAATAAACAATATGTTTTATATATTGATAAATTATTCGCTTTGACATTTAGCGTACAATTACTGGTTAAAAAAAAATATTTATTTAATTATGTTTTTAAAATTCAATTTATATAGATTAATACAATTTATTTTATATGTCTTATTTTAATGGTACTATTTTATCTTTTTAGTTGAAATTATTCATTTTATTGAAATTAAATTTAGTTTATATGAATTTTAATGAAATATTAATTATGACTTGATATACATTGTTACTTAACTACTTTTTTATAATGATCTATTTTCAAAAATTATTATTGTGTTAATTTAATATTCTTAAAATTTAACTATTAAATATTAAATTATTAAATATTACAATTTATCATTTAATTGTGTTGCATATAAATTTTACATTTATAAATAAATTTTATTTACATTTTTTACAGAGATATTGACCCCTTGCAGTTTACATTTTCACTGGATAATCTATCACAAGAACTAAATAGCCAGCAACTGACCAACTGCAATTATAGCGATGAACAGCAAATTAATATCGACGAGAAATTTACATTGCATCAAAATATTTCAATAATGCAACATCCAACAGTAACTCCAATATTAGGGAAAGAAGAGTTCGCTGGTCAATTTAACTTTCAATTAATTCTCAATCATCAAAATAGTGGAAAGCATTGGGTCGTAAGTAAACAAATTTTCTTAACAAAAGCAATGCATCTCTATCTCAATTCTGTTATTATTTAGTTCAAAGTATGGGTATTCAAAACTAAACAAAAATAGGAAATATTGTATTAAATAAAGAAGTTAAATATAGGTGTTCATTTATTTCAACAGTACTCGGAAAAGTTATCAAAGGTGTTTATACATATGGAACAAGTACTGCCTCTTCAATTTCAATGGACACCACCAGCGGATGGTCTTTGGGTGAGAGCAACCATGGTGTATAAATTAGATCAGCACAGATCTCAGCCTGTTCTCAGATGTCACAATCACATGGCACCTGATAATAGTAGTAATCGCAATATTGATCCAAGACAAGTAAAGCATGTAATTAGATGCCTTCACAATACCAGTAGTTATGAAGAAGCTGGAAATGGGCATTTATCGGTTTTGACACCATTGGGAATGCCGGAGGCCGGAGTACAGAATGTACCCATGGATTTTGTATTTTATTGTAAAAACAGTTGCACATCAGGAATGAATCGAAGGCCAACCGAATTAATTTTTACACTTGAGACTGAACAGAATCAGATTTTAGGAAGACGCAAACTCGAGGTTCGAGTTTGCAGTTGCCCAAAGCGTGATAAAGAAAAGGAGGAAGGTGAAAATGATGCTTCAGTGTCTATCGGATCTGGAAAGAAGCGGAAGGCAACAACACCAATTCCTGTACTACCACCACCTGGAAAGAAAGTGTCCACCGACAATAAAGTATATTCATTAAATTTAGAGGTTGTTGGTAGAGAGAATGTAAATGCTATAATCAAATATGCACATGATGTAATGGCCGGTGCGGGAATACGAAACGATAACATCGATCTGTATAAGCCGTATATGGACGAAGTATTGCGAAAGTATCAATAACTCGATTACCTGCATGGATTGTTTGTAAAAGAATATGAAATATCAATATGTGGTTTATTCTATTAATTAAAAATGTTAGAGAAACATTTATAGTTAATAATTTACAAGACATTTGAAACTCAAAATTTGAAAGTCTAGATTTTAATAAATATTTAATTTTTATGTAAATGTAAAAAGTAGTTAATTTTTGTTATTATATTAAAATATGATATTTAGTTATAAATATATTCCTAGTAAAAAATTATAAATGCAATTTTTATTGATAATTTGATTTTTAATGGTAAACGTATTTAATTTTACTCTATTAGTCTTATACACTAAATAAGTCATTTTTATCTAGCTGAGAAAATACTGATATTTCATATTCTCGATTCATTTAATTATAAACCTTTTACATTATATTTTTATTATAATGACTGTAATACTATCTTAGCTATCATTTCCTTTTCATTTATACAATATTTAATTATTTAAAAGCCATAATATTTTTAAGCATCGCGATAGTAAAGTATAATATTTTGTATACTTAAATTAAGCATCATCTCTAATATTATAAACAATCTAATGTGCCTTTATAAAATTTATGACAATTTTACTTAGAATAAATAATTTTATTGATTTTTATTTATTGGTTTACATTTTTTTTATCATACTTTAATATAACCTCCATTTAAATTTAATTCGATAAGTGAAATAGTGACCGAAGATATAGAAATATTTTTCGGTAATGTTGCAATGTGACGAGATGAAAGCTCAAACGAATCTCGAAGACTATAAATTTCTTGTCGTAAATGAACTTCAGCTTTATCATCAGATACTGCGTGTACAATCCATTCCCAATTAAGAGCACAGTTGATTTCAGAGCTTGATATCCAAATTTTATTATTTTCATTCTAAAAATATTAAAACTTTTATAAATGCATGTACGTCTAATAGCGTAAAAAGTAACTAAAATAATTTTTATATAATTTTATTACATGTTAATATAATTCATTTTGTTAGTAATTTGATTATTAATTTAATCGTGTAGATTTTATAAAATTAACGAATTTTTTTTTAATAAATATCCTTAAATACTAGGATCAATTTCGGCATAATATAAATTTTAATTACAATAAAAAAGTTAATCTTATCAAGTATATTTTTGAATTTTTTATGCAAATGAAAATTATAAAATACATTTATAAGTATTTCAAATATTACACTAAAAAAAATATTGTTTTGCAATTTAAACAAAAAATAGAAAGTTGTCTCATGTAATTATAAAAAAATTATTATATATTTATCTAGTAAAGTGTATAAAATTGTGGCACTGACAGAAGCATTAACAGTATTAATAATAGTAATAGCTCATCTGCATAAAACAGTTATTTATTTGTACTTTACGTTCGATGTAAAATAAGATAAATCACAATTTAATAAAATTTAATCTATAATATATATATATATATATATATATATATATTATTTTGAAATCGAGACTATAAAAGTGTGAAAATGATATGTAAAAGATAAGCATGGAAAATCTTCTCAAGTAACTAATTTTATGTACAACGCTTAGGGGTTTGAATAAATGAGATTAAAGTTTACAAATATAGTTTGTTAAATATAAATATAAATATAACCATCATAATAAAATATCGATCTATTAGATATATAAGTACATCAATTGTATAGTTATCTAGTATCCACGTGTATCGAAAATCAGATTTCTTATATTTATTATATATTTTTACACGTATATAACAATATACAAATTTTAAAATAATGAAAAGTAAATATACTTTTTGAAATTAGTTTAATCTTGCATTAAATAAATGTTTGTTAATGAACTAGTTTTCATTATTTTATTTGAAAAACGAATAAATTATGAATAAAATAGATTCTAAATAAGCATAGAACATTTTCAATATTTTAGTTCAATGAATTGTTAAAAACCTTTGTTCATATTCATACTTTTATAATATTCAAATTATTCATTAATAGAATATTAATTTTTATGTTCTAAGAAAACAATTTGGTATTTTATTTTGTATATTTTGTGTTTCAATCGTTAGGTTATCTCACGAAACTTTTTTTATAAGTATTTATAAGTTCATAAATATTTATAAGTAACGGTTATAAGTTCGGAAATGTAGTTGTATAATTGTTGTACCAGAAGTATAAAGTTTTCATCCTTATGATGCAAAATATAAACAGCATCCTCTTGGAACGGCAAGGGAACAGGTAGAGTGATGGTTTTCTTGTAAAAATGTATCAAAGGCCCAGAATGTTGAAATGACAAATGCTCCATTAACGTGTGATAATTGATGGTCTCTCCACATTTCTCCGCGCGTTCTTTAAAAGGACAATTTAATCTCCCTGTTGTCATGGATTCTGTGGAACCACCCCACATCGGAGTCTTCGATTTCATCCACATAAAAACACAATAGAATTGAATTATTTCCTAAATGATCTTAATTCATAAATCGAATGTAAGATTACAGCTTCGTCTATAAGATTGGATCAAATGCCAGCTTAGAAATAAATTTTTTATTATAAATGCAAATAATTTTAACGTCTAGTATAATAAATGCGCCAATGTTCTTTAAAATTTCTGCAAGAGCACAATCAGATATTGAGGTACTTCTTCACCTGTGGTACGCTAAGCAGCGACCCGGATTTCACCGTTTCTTGGCTGTAATTATGGAGTTCGGTGAAGGAACCATTTACTGCCCTATCATCGTCGTGATGACTGTTACCTCGGCTGAGCTCTCCCGTGCTAGCCGACTTCCTCCTGTCATAGAGTCGTAACAGCCACCTACGTCCGTACAACAGGTTTCCGTCCATAACGCAACTTGTCGTTGGCAGACTTTCTGTCGACACGCTCATCTCATCCTGCTTGCTCGATGAGAAAATCTTCGACACGAAGTCTTTAGTCTTGCGGCTCGCTATCGAGCTTTTGCGCTTCTTCGTGCGACTCGGTGGACCAAAAATGCTGTCGTGGAGAGAGCGAGGCTGCATAATAAAATTTTTGCACACTTTGAAACAATTTCTTTTATATAATGCATCGATTCATAGATCGAATCATAGATATTACAAATAAGTGAGACTCCTAGATTGCGAATAATTTTTTACTGATTTATCAATACGTGATTTACCATAAATGAATTTTTTAAATATTTTTAAAACTATTTCTACAATGTCACATACTTTGTTTAATCTAATTGGCGTACGTTGACACTTTACACCACGTTGCCTATTTTGACAAAGATTGTCCATTCTAGAATTTTGTATTGAAAGTATCTTTAATCCAACAAAACGTATAGTAATGTCATGGAATATATTAGCATGGAATATCATGGTGTGGAGGACAACTTGACGTATGGATGAACGATTTAGGCGAGTACAAACCATGGCATTGGTCCGGTCATCCTCAACCACACTACGCTCCACGTTAACTAGAGCCTCGGTGAGTATCCGATGTGACTTATCGGCGAGGAGGCAGCGTCCTTGCCCCAGTCGCACCCTGCACACGGGACAGCGGGTAGTTTTTAAGCGGCAGCCGAAGCAAAGGAGATGACCATGGACACACTGAGACACTGGTGGGGCTGCACTGTCCAAGCACACCGGGCACTCCAGTGCCTTCACTACACCTGACACCGCTTTAACCAATTTTTGCGCTACCTCCGGCAGCGGGCCATCCAACAGAGTTTCCTAAAAACTTGGCAATCTACATGAGTGCTTTTTTAATCAAGACGTATTTTACAAAAACTTGCGCTATCGTTGATTTTGTGACAAACAAGCGTTCAGCATACATAAGCACACTATTATAAAAAGATAAATTTTTATATAAAGGTGAGAAAACGATGGAAAGCTTACAGCGTGTTCGACGCTATAATTATTAGATTCTCTGCTGTACTTTTCGCTGAGATGGGCGAAATCAACATTAACTGCTTGCGAATTTAATTTTGGGGGTCGACGCCAAAGACCTAGATTCACACGATCGTTCTTTCCAATTAAATATGCAATATCCTTCATCTCTAAACCCAAAACATCTCGGCCATCGATTTCCAATAAACAATCGCCAGATCTGTTAATTTTTCAAGTATATTTATGTTATTTCACAATATTACTATAAATGTTAGCATTATATCATATTAATAAAAATCAGTCATTCAAGTCAATAAAGTATTGCCTAATTTTATAAGTCAACTTCTACCATTTTCAACATACTGAAAGTATATAAATAATGAGTTTACAAAATTATGATTTTAATTATAATACGCATTCTATTATTAAACAGAATGGTATGAAATACCAATCAACTTTTCTTTATTCAATAATATAATTTTATACAACGTTAATTTGAAATGTACAAAATACAGCAAATAATTTTAAAATAATGAAAAAATTTAATAGAAAATATGTAATGTTTCAAGACATTAATGTATTTTTAACATAAAAAATATATTTGTGTCTTTGATATTCTATAAATTACTCTGATTGAATGCAATTATTGTCTTCATAAAAATTAATTCCGACTATAATGATTTGATCTATTTAACAATCATGAATATAACGAATTTTTACATATTAAATTTATCATCATTTACATTTTAATCTATGAGATAAATCATTTATGAACTACTTTGCTTAGTTGTGACATTATGATTATTAATAAATCATAATTCTAAAAACCCACAGATATGTTAGGAAAATTGATAATATTTATAATAAATAAATTATATTTGATTCCAGTTATAGTTTAGTTTATTGCAAAATAAATATTTTATATAGTTTATGTTATTTCTAGATTTATATTATGTATTTATAATATCTTATGCGTATAATCTAAGCAAAGTTAATAGAAATTATTATGATTCAAATGAATATAAACCAATGAAATAGATTATTTAAGAAATTTAACATAAGTTATTAATCTTAGGTACATCGACTACCTCAATCCTGATACATCAGCACTACTCCCTTTATCAACTGATTTTATCCAAGGATATGGATCCCATTTCGATCGAATCAGGTGAAATCCGTGCGACTTCCTTCCTGTAGACGTTGATTTACAATTCTCGCTAATTAGGACT